CGGAAATGTCAAAAATAGTGTTGGATCAGACTCAACTTGCACAGCTCGATACCGATATGGTCGCAACGATGAGAGTATATGTACCCTCTGCTGCTAAACGTGCTGTGGTTGTCAAAGAAGATGATCTACTGACCAAAGCCGACATAGCAGCACATCCAAAGGAGGTTAGTGAAGCCTTATATACTGAGCTCAAAATCTGGATTGATAATCGATGCTTTGAGATGTACGATTTATCCAAAGCTTCCAACATCATGACATCCAGATATGTATACAAGTGGAAGTTCGTAAAGATGGGTACCGAGAACGTTAAAACCATTCGTCTCAGACTGGTCCTTCGTGGATTTATGGATACTGAGGCTTTTGATGTGGAAACATCTTCGGGAAACGCCCGAAGGCAGTCCCAACGACTCCTGGCAAGCGAAGCGGCATGCCATCCAGAGTGGATCTTAGCATCCATGGATATCGATAAGGCGTTCCTCAAGGGTTTGACCTATGAGGAACTTGCCCATGCCACCGGCGAGGAAACTCGCATGGTTTGCTTTACTCTTCCACCAGGAAGCGCTCAGGTACTTCGTACCTTACCCGGCCTCTCATCCTACGACGAAAGTCGACACTGTCTTAGATGCCTCAAACCAGGAACGGGTACTAAGGACGCTCCAAGAGCGTTCTCTCTCAAACTTCGCACGACCACACGAGCTATAGGACTTACACCGACCAGCTACGATCCTGAATTTGAATTCAGCCAAGACCTTCTGACGGCAAAACATGTCGATGATATTAACATGACAGGTCTAGAGAAAATTATAGACGACTATGTACAACGCGTCGAAAAGGTGTTTGGCACATGCAAGCTCAACAAGCACACATGTACGAACTGCGCCGTTCGCTACACTAAGAATGATCAAGGAGATGTGATCATGGACCAGGACGAGTATATCAAACAACTATTTCCTATCACACACCCTGAACTTACAGGAGCGGCGGCCGATGCCAAAGCCACGAAACTCATTACCGACATGTTCGTCAGCCTGCGAGGAGCCCTCGCCTATGCCCTTCTCCCAAATCTGGCTCATGGTATACGTGGTCTCTCTTCAGAAAATTCAAGAGCCCACCAATCTGCAAGTCAGACGTTTGAATGCTGTGACGCGAAAGCTGATCAGCAGCCCGAAACGTATCACCTTCCCTCGGATGAAGCCGACGAATGAAGTTGACATCCATAGCGATTCGGGGTATCGGAAGCTTACCGGGGAGGGGGATGACGAGACCAAGGGCTACGGCATACGCGGGGCCAATGTACTACGGCGAGGAAACTCGCCTCAAGGCAAGTCCGTCGTTCACCTCTGTGACGGACTATGCTAATCACACCGATTACAGGTGAGGTCCAGTTATGTTGCGGAGGCACTTGCAGCTGCACATAACCTTGATGAGTGTTACCCTACGCTCATTACTCTCCACGAGCTTAAGGCAGGAGCTTTGACTCCACGACAACTACGAGACATGCGTGAAGTTGGAGGCCTAGCTATCAAAGTCTCTCTTACCATAGACGCCGAGTCCGTCTACAAATCTTTATCAAGCAGTTATCTCAACATACCTACAGAACGGACTCTGCTTGGACATATCAGCTGGATACGTGAGCTCATGGATATAGGTATAGTACATAATGTGCAATGGTGTGATACTAGGGATATGACCGCAGATGGGCATACAAAGGGAAGCATCGATCGGGAGCTGCTTCTGGAAGTGATGTCAGGCACTCAGTCACTTAAATATGACGTGAAGCAATTTGTTCCCTTTCGGGGTCCCGAGGACAGAGACAAACCTAAGTCTAATCAATTTTAGTATGTCCTTGTTGCCCTCGCGGTCCAATTTGCCAGCACGGGCGCCTACTATAAAGGCGCCCCTCTAGTTGCCCGGAAACGAGCCTTATATTTCACGCCTGGCAACGAGCCGGCTTCGTACAACTCAGGCTCTTTGCCTTAATACACATTTGCTTGGTGAGGTATGGCCTGTTTGGCTTACCTCTAACTGAGCCGATAGCCCTTCATTGTTTGAAGGGGCTGTCTTGTATTTGCGTGAAATACTTTGCGAGGAAACTCGCCTTGCAGTCTGGTGTTAGGCCAGACTGTACGCACTGTTTTCTTTTTTGCAAACAGTCGTGCGCGCGACCTTTGCGTGCGACTATGCTCTCCGTCTCCTCCCCTCCCGACTTTAAGGGTCGGTCTTTGGGAGATGTTATAGTATCGGGAGCATAGCTCGCGCGCGCCGTTGCCTTTGGCCCAAGGCACGCGCGCCCGATTTGCCCTCACACCGCGAGTGTTCGCTATGTGCTGGAAAGATCATTACATCGATCTTATCCTATCTTATCCGTCCACCCCTCATACTGTACCTTCACAGCAGAGCGATGGGCGCTATTTGCCATATTTGAGCTACCAGGCTCACTTTCGACTGCGAGGTCTTCCAGCCCAGCTCTTCTCGAGGTGTTCGTGGGCCCCGGAAGCGGCAGGATCGTTGCTGTGCCGTTTCCGTTTTGCCGTTTCTTTGCTGGTTCTGGCGCCGTTTGTTGTCTCGGTTCCGTCGCGATTGTTTTGACCTTCCCGGTCCCGGGTTTAATCGTGGAGCCGCTTTTATTCCCGTTCCCAGTCGCCGCTTGTTTTTTTTCCGAATGACATGTTTTCGGGAACCGTGGAGAAATACCTTGCCTTTGCCGCTGCATTATTCTTTTTTTTCTTTTTTCTTTGTTTTTTATTTTTTTTTGCCTTTTTTTTTTTTTATTTTTTGTTTCTATTTTTTTTTTTTTTTTTTGTTTATTTTGTTTTTTTTTTTTTTTTTTTTTTTTTTTTGGTTTTTGCCTTTGCCGCTGCCATCTAAACGCCTGGGTCGCAGCCTTGCCCGAAGCCTTGCCCGAAGCACGGGCCTCGGAGTGCTTTTTTCTTCAGCGGCTGCGCCCTGCCGAGCGCTTGTTGGGGGGAGGCCAGGTAAGGACCCGAACCGCCGCGTGGGCAGCACGAGGCCCCTCCTCCTTTTCCTCCTCCCTCCTCCTCCCTCCTCCTCCTCCTCCGAGCTGGAGATGCACATCTCCAGCTCGGCGAGGCAGCGCCCCGCGCGAGGCATCCCCGCTCTCGGATCGGGGATGCCTCGAGCGGAGGGCCCGAAGACGATGTCGGCCTCTGGGGGCCGGCGTTGTTCCTCGAGGTCGGCCTCGGGGGGCCGTCATCGGGTCCGGGGACCATCAAGAGTGGATCGGCGCAGCGCTCGGGCCGGGCGAAAGGGCGGGATTGGGAAATCTGCTGCATGCAGCGGGTTTCGGCCCCACCGAGGGGCCCATGCCTCGACACATGGGCGCCTCCCGGCGCCGGGAGGCGCCAGGAAAATCAGCTACGTGAGCTGATTCTCAACTACCCCCCTTTGCTATCCCCCCCTTTCGCCCGACCCGAAACGCCGTCCCCGGGGAAGGGGCGGGAGCCTCTGGGGCCGCGCATGGACAGCCAAACGCATCGTTGGATGTCTGGGATGGGCCAGGCCGATGTCGCTGCCGTCGCTGCTGCCTGTAGGGTGGGCTGGTCGACGAGGCGCCACGCCCATCAGTGGCAACGCTGGGGGAGGGATTAGGCTCAGAGGGGAACGCCTCGACCCCCCATAGCCCATTGATCGCCAACAGGGGCCCGATAGCCCCGCCCAGGGCATGCGGATGCGCTGTCGGGAGCCCATCGCCGATCTGTCAGCGACGCATCGCCGATGCCAGGTCGATGTTTTCAACCCGCTGGGCCATGGTGGCAACGTGTGAGACACGGATCGTGCGGCTGCCTGGCACAGGGGGGAGGGTCCCCAGCCACAATCTGGGCAGCGTCCGCACTCGTGCCCGCGTTGCTTTGCGCTGAGCCCCCCTCTGCACCGGGCCCCGCCGCCCCCCCGCGGAGGCTGCGCACCGGTGGCTGCTCTGTCCTACAGGGTCGCTCTCTAGCGGGCAGGCTGGCGCGCCAGCTCATCTGTCAAAGGCGCGAGGTCGTGCCAGCAGGTGGGCGGGCTTGGCATCGAACGCGGTGCACGTCTTGGTGGTGCCCCGGCGCCAGGTCTCTGCAGCCGAGGGGGGGCGGCGAGGCTCCTCATGTGGCGGAGAGGGGTCCCGAGGGGAGCGGGCCCTCGAGGCCTGCCGCCGTCTGCGGCCTCCTGGGGCCCTTAACCTGCCCCAGGGCCCTCAATGAGCGCGGCTCACGGCCTGAGAAGCTGGTCCCTGGGGGAAGGGTCCCAGTGGAGGGCGAAGGAGGAGCGCTGCAGAAGGGGGGGGCCAGGTTGCGGGGCTGGCCCCATCCTCCAGCCTCCAGCCTCTTCCTCCCATCCTGCAGCCTCCCCCTCCGGACTCGTCCCCTCGCTCGCTGGATCCCCATTTCTTTACCCATCTTCGTGCACCTCACCTGGAGGCCCCTGCAGTAGACACATCCGACAAGACATCGTGGGCACATTCTTCGACTGTCTCTGAGGTATCTCAGGTGCCGCAGAGCTTCTGTGGGTCCCTATGGGGCCAACGGGGCAGGCCGATCTCCTCTTTGACGTGCCTACCGTATGGGCACGGGGCGCAAAGCCGCCACCAGAGAGACCCCGTCTTGCCATACGTTAGCTTCGCGTCGCGTCGACCGGCGGCGACCCCGCCAGCGTTCACAACATTGAACGCCGCCGGCGACCCGATGTTGAACGGCCTGACGTTTCGGAAACGGCCGATCGATTTAACGATCCCTACGGTGTCAGGACCCACCGCTGGGGTAAGTCGGGCCTGTCCCCCTACAGCGGGATTTTTCGACGAAAAATAAAAAATACCCAACAAATAATCAAAACATAGTAAAACCAAAATAGTCTGGGGACTGTTTTTAAAAAATATGTTGGCCTTTTTGGCAGATTTGTGATGTATTTTTTCGTTGAAAATCCCCCTGTAGGGGGACACGCCCGACATAACGCTGGGGCAGACACGACACGAGCCTCCCATGCAAGAGCCTGCCGCGGCCGCCGAGGAAGCGCCCCGCCGCGCCGGCGCCCGCCGGCAGCGGCGAAGGCGGGACACCAGCGCGACGCCGCTCGGCCGCCGCCCACCGCCGCTCGGCCGCCACCCGCCGCCGCCCGCCGCCGCCGCCGTTGGGGGATCCATGGGCCAGGCCGCCGTCGCCGCCGCCGTCGCCGCTGCCCGCGGTCAGGGTGGGAAGATCGGAGGTTGATAGACCTCCTCCCCTGACGCGTCGATTCAGGAATGGGCCGTTTTCGGTCCGCGAGTTGGGCGCCGCGGCCGCCAGTTTTGGCGGGTCCAGGTCCGTCGGTTTCGGTCCCAGGCCGTTCTCACGAAGGGGAGGTCTATCAAAGGGAGGTCTATTAAAGGGAGGTCTATTAAAGGGAGGTCTATGAAAGGGAGGGTTGTCCACCGCCGAGAAAAGGCCTCCCTGCTCGAAGCAGGAACCACTGCGAAGCCTAAGCTCTCGGCGCTCCGCGCGGATCTCTTGGAGCCCGCGCCTGGGCGCGCGCTCCGCGCTCCTCTCCGGGAGGGGGGGTCCGGCGCAGAGCCCAGGGGTCCGCGCGCGGGCCGTCGGAGGCGGCTGCTCTTGTCGCTGCTCCTGCCTCGAGGCACCGCTGCTCGTCCTGGAGGGCCCTCATCGCCGCGGCTGGACCTGTCCTGGAAGTCCTCGTCAGAACGCACCCCAGGAGAGGTCGGGGGACGAGCGGCATCGGCAGCTTCCTACCACCCAAGATTTCGGCGTCGTCGTCGCTGCCTGTGGGGCGGGCTCGGTCGACGTGGCACCACGCCCCAGCTTTTTTTCTTCGCACGTTCTTGCCACAGGCAGCGCCGGCTAAACCATCGAAGACGCCTACGGCGAATCACCGCCGCCCTCTGCCTTTTCGGAAACTCCGATGTGGCCGAAAGTTGGGCTAGAGCTTGGCCAAGCTATCGGACCATGAGTTCCCCGAGTCGGTTTGGACAGCATTCGGGGAACATGTGGGGGAGAATGGACACGAAGAGGAAGAGGAAGAGGAAACATAGGAGGAGGAGACTTCTTGGAAGGGCCAGGTGGTTTCCGAGCTTTCGGGCCTTCCTGGAGGACGTCTTGGAGGGGTCTGGGGCCGTCTTGGAGGCCTCTTGCGGGCCTTTTGGACAGTCTAAGTCCATCTTCAGGCCATCTGGGGCCGTCTTGGGTGCACCTTGGGGCCATCTTCGCTGTCTTGGAGGCCTGCTTGACCGTCTTGGAGGCATCTTGGAGGCCATCTTGGCCGTCTTGGAGGCCATCTTCGGCGGCCTTCGGGGCCATCTTGGGCCGTCTTGGGCTCTTCTTGGGGCCGTCTTGGGGGCCCCTTGTGCCATCAAAGGGCCCTCTTGGAAGCCTCTTGGGCGCTCTTGGGACGATCTTGCGGGCCTCTTGGGCCGTCTTGGGCCGTCGGAGAGCTGAAGAGAAGAAGATGCAACAATCATTCAACAACCGAATGGCAATCAATGATTTGGGCACTTTCGGGCCTTCCAGGACGACGTCTCGGAGGTCTCGTGGACGTCTGAGAAGAAGCAAATACCAAAATCCTTCAAAAACCTGGGGAACATCAATGATTTTGGCCTCTTGGGACCCTCCTGGAGGACCTCTTGGAGGCCTCTTGGGTCGTATTGGGCTGTCTTGGAGGCTTCTGGGGCGAACTTGGAGATATCTTGGACTCTCTTGGGCCGTCACGAGGCCGTATTGGACCATCTTGGGCGGACTTGGAGGCCATCTTGGATTATCTTGGAGGCCATCTTTGGCCAACGTGGCCATCTTGGAGGCCATCTCGAGCTGTCTTGGAGCATTTTTTTTCCGGATTGGGGTCCTTTCCGGGTGGCCGGCGGGACGCGCCGAAGCCCCAGGGGAAGTTCTTTTGGAAAAGAACCAAAACCCAAACCGATAGGATTTGGCACGCCAGGCACCCCTCTTGCAAGCGACAGGGGGCGGCGGCCTACGGCGAATCACCGCCGCCCCCTGCCTTTTTGGAAGTGCCTGTGTGGCCGAACGTTGAGGCCAGACCTGCCAAGCTATCGGACCATGTGTTCTCCGAATCGGCTGGGAAAGCCTTCGGGGAACACGTGGGCATCTTGAAGGTCATCTTGACCGCTTGGAGGCCATTTTGACCCTTTCGGGCCTTCTTGGAGGACGTCTTGGAGTGCTCTTGGGCCGTCTTGGAGGCCATCTTGAGCGTCTTGGAGGCCTCTTTGGCCGTCTTGGGGGCCTCTTGGGGCCGTCTTGGGCCTCTTGGGCGATCTTTGGGGGCACTTGGGCCGTATTGGGCCGTCGGAAGGCCAAGAAAAAGCAAATGCCACAATCCTTCAACAATTCATAGAAAATCTATGATTTCGGCCTTTTCGGGCCTTCCTGGAGGCCCTCTTGGAGGCCGTCTTGGGCCGTCTTGGGCCATTAGTGCCATCTTCGGCCGTCTTGGTGGGCCCCTTGCCCGTCCGACGCCGTCGGAAGCTGTTTGGGGGGCCTCTCTGAGCCGACTCGGGGCACTCTTGGAATACTCCAGGGCCGTTTTGGAGTCCATCTTGGGCGTCTTAAAAGCCTCCCTGGCCGTCTTGGGGGCCTCTTGGGGCCGTCTTAGGGGGCCTCTTGGGCCGTTCTGGGGCCATCTTGGAGGCATCTTGGGCGATCTTTGGGCGATCTTTGGGGGCTCTTGGGCCGTCTCGGACCGTCGGAAGGCCGAAAAGAAGCAAATGCAAACATCCTTCAAAAACCTATGGACATTAAATGTTTTAGGCCTTTTCTGGCCTTCCTGGAGGCCCTCTTGGAGGCCTCTTGGGCCATCTAGGAGGCCTCTGGGGGAGTTCTGTTGGAAAAAGAACCAACACCAAAACCAAGAGGGTTTAGCACGCCAGGCACCCCTGCGATGAATCGACAGGGGGCGGCGGATCTAAGACGCCTACGGCGAATCCCCGCCGCCCCCTGCCTTTTTGGAAGCGCCTGTGTGGCCGAACGTTGAGGCCAGAGGCCTGCCAAGCTATCGGACCATGTGTTCCCCGAATCGGTTTGGAAAGCCTTCGGGGAACACGGGGGCATCTTGAAGGTCATGTTGGCCGTCTTGGAGGCCTCGTGGGCGATCTTTCGGCGATCTTTGGGGGCTCTTGGGCCGTCTCGGGCCGTCGGAAGGCCGAAAAGAAGGAAATGTCAAAATCCTTCGAACACCTCTGGACTATCAAGGTTTTTGGCCTTTTCCCTCCTTCGTGGAGGCCCTCTTAGGGGCCTCTTGGGCCGTCTTGGGCCAGTTTCGAGCCAACTTCGGCCATCTTGGTGGGTTCCTGGCACGTCTGACGCCGTCGGGAGCCGTCTTGGGGGCATTTCAGGGCCAACGGGGGACCCTCTTGGGGCGCTTCGGGGCCGTCGTGGAGGCCATCTTGAGCGTCTTGGAGGCCATCTTTGGCGTGTTGGAGGCCTCTTGGGCCGTCTTGGGGCCCTTCTGGGGCCAACTTGGAGGCCACTTGGGCCGTCATGGGGCCCTCTTGGGGGCCTCTTGGGCGGTCTTGGAAGCCTCTTGGGCCGTCTTGAGCCATCGGAATGCCGAGAAGAAGCAAATCCCAAAATCCTTCAAAAACACAAGGAACATCAATTTGGGCCTCTTCGGGCCCTCCTGGAGAACCTCTTGGAGGGCTCTTGGGCCGTCTGGGAGGCCTCTGGGTGGCCTCTGGGGCCGTCTTGGGCCATCTTTGACTCTCTTGGGCCGTCTTGGAGGCCGTCTTGGACCATCTTGGGCGGATTTGGAGGCCATCTTGGGCCATCTTCGTGTTTTTTTGTAAGGGTTTCCCGAGCGAAACGGCCGTTTCTTGAGCCATCTTGGAGGATGTTTTGCGGTCGTTGAGCTCGTTTCCGGGCCTTCCGCGACCCCGGCGGGACGGGCCGAAACCCACGGAGAGTTCTTTTGGAAAAAGAACCAAAACCAAAACCGATAGGATTTGGCACGCTGGGCACCCCTTTGCTGAAGCAGAAGGGGGCGGCGGATCGAATGGCCTTCGGCCCATCCCACCACCGTGCCTGGGTTGTGGGAAGCCTATTAGATGTTCGTCGGGATCTCGTGGCGGCAGTTTGGAGGCCTCCTGGGGACCGTTCTGGGGCCTCTTGGGGCCTTCTTTGGGCCTCTTCGGGGCCTCTTGGGGTCTCTTGGATGCCTCTAGGGGGTCTCTTGGGGCCTCCTGGGCGCCTCTTGTGGCCTCCTGGGGGCATCTTGGGGCGGGAGGCTGGGATTTTCGGATCGTGTTCCCTCCCTTGGGCCCCGATTGAGGCCGTCTTGGGGCCCTCTTGGGACGTCTTGGGCACCTCTTGGGCCGTCTTGGGGCGCTCTCAGGCCGTCTTGGGGCCCTCTTGGAGGCATCGTGGCCGTTCTGGGTTGGTCTTGGGGGCCTCGGGGGCCGTCTTGGAGCTCCAGGAAGCCGAAAAGGCGAGAACATTATTATCCTTCAAAACCCAATCGGAAATCTATGATTCTGACTTCTTGGGGCCATCGTGGGAGGCCTCTTAGAGACTTGTGGCCAGCTTTTGCGTCTTGGGGCGATCTGTCGGCGACTCGGAGCCCTCTTGGACCGGCTTGGGGGCCTCGTGGGGGCCTCGAGGCCCGTCTTGGGGCCCTCTCGGGCCAGAAAAAATCATCCGATAACACGCGGGAAGCCCCAAGAGATTTCGGAATTTGGTCCGGGCCCGTTTAAACACTCTTTTGGACTGAGGACTAGGGCTCCAGGGATTAGGCAAAGGACCTGAGGACACGCCCACTCCGTGCCCAGAGGCACGGTGGCGGATTCGAATCCCCTGTGGGCCCTGGTAGATCTCTCGGCCCCGCCAGCCGATCCTCCAAGGTGGGATAAGCCCCACGAAACTGACGGAACGGGCATACATGTTCCCAGGATCAGAGCCTACGGCACCCCCCCCAGATTGAAAGTGTCCCTGTGCCTCACGGGCACCCCCGCGGATGACATGGAGGAGACGGCAACGACACAAACGACGACGACGAAGCTGAAGACGAAGACGACGTCGACGAAAATGACGACGACGACGGCGGCGACGACGACGACGAAACGACGACGACGACGGCGGCGGCGGCGTCGGCGACGACGACGCCGACGCTGACGCTGACGCGGACGATAACGGCGTCAATGACGACGACGAGGACGACGACGACGACAGCGACGACGATACCGACGACGACGTCGAAGACCACGGCGGCGAAAACCGCGACGACGACGACGACGACGACGACCACGACTACGGCGGCGACGACGACTACGACGACGACGACGACGGCACCGCAGCACCACCCCACAACCACAGGGGCGGATTAACGGTCAGCAGCAGCACCGCCCCACACCCGTCCAGACGGGCGGGTGGCGGGGGACGATCCCGCTAGCGTTGGCGGGGGCGGGGGGCGAGGGCGGACCTCGGATTACGTAGCCCCTTCTGCGGGGTCAAGCCAGCAGGGGAGCCGAGGCCGTGCCCACGGAGTGGGGCAGGCCCAGGCCCCTGCCGCCCTGGCTCGTGCTGCCAGGGCCACAGCGCGCCAGGGAAGGGGTCCGTCGCCGATCCAAGAAATCCGCGACTGTTTAGTGGTTTGTATAACGACCAGCTCTGGAAGCTTTGATGTATGACGTCGTGTCTCCCCTGGAGAACTGGAAGCTTTGTCCCTGGAGGGAGGCCACGAGGTTCTCTCCCCAGGAACCCCCGTGCCTCGCGCCACGGTCATGCGCTTACTCTCCCAAGCGCAACTGTCGGTTGAAGACAGCTTGCATGACCGAGGCGGTGAATGTCAGCCACGCGCAGAGGGTGGTGAGGGGCGGGGGGAGGGCTTCTTAGAAGCACCCGTGCTTCTTAGAAGGCGCGGGCCTTATCTATAGATGTAAGGCCGGCGCCTTCTCAGAAGCAGCCTCCTTCTAAGAAGCCCCCCCCCCTCCCCCCACCCCCTTGTGCGCGCCGCCAATAATGCGCCAGCCTCCCATCGGAGTCTGACTACTCTGGGCTCGTGTCGTGTCGACGCGGCTGCGACCCCAGCGCGGGCCCTCAAGGTTGAATGCCGCCCGTGGCCCAGAGTCTGCCAACACGGAGCGGTCTGGCGATCGACAAGCCGCCGAGGACCCAAGGCCGGAAGATCCATGTGGCGTCAGAAGTCGGCGCCACGGTCGTCGCGACGCCAACTTGCCGAGATCGTCAACAAAACCTGCTTGTGGTGCAGCCCTCACGCCGGAGAGGCAGCGCCGCGCCCACGCTGAAGCGGCGCAGGCAGGGCGCCGCCGCGGCCGCAGCTCCTGCGGAGCGCGCGGGCCCCGCGACCGCGGGCGTGGGGGCCGCGCCGGTGCGGGCCCAGGCGCTGGCAGACATCCGCGCCGCCATCGCCGAGCAGAACGGCGCCATCCGGGCGATCGGAGGGGCTCGATGCAGAAGCACGCCATGCCGTCTGGTCGGCCAGGGAGCCGAGGAGCTCGACGACGGAAGTTCGGCGTGTGTCTGGGAGGATGCAGCGGCACGCGTCGGCGGTGGGCTCCCCTGGCGACGGCGCCGTGCCCTCCGCGCGCCAGGGCCCGGCGCCGAGCGGAGAAGCCCGCGCGGGGCTCCGGAAGTGCACTCCAGAGTTCGCAACGAAAGGGAGGGGGTCACGACCCTCTCAGACCAGAAGGTTTAGACCCCCCCAGACCATCCATGAAGGGGCGGCACTTTGCCCAGGCCCCCCCGAAGCCTTCAAGACAGCTCAAATCGACCCCCCCCGCCGAATGTGACCCCCCCTGCTCTAGTATGGAATCCGGAGTAGGTTTACGTTTCCCCTTTCCTTGCAGACGCGCCGGCGTCCCCACGGTTTGGGCACCGAGCTCCTGGCCGACCAGACGTTCTGGCGCATGCGTGCCTCGGGCACCTCCCTCTAGGCGTGCGTCGACGGCTGGCACTCGAAGTACAAGCCGGTGCTGGGGGGCTACAGGAGGGCGCTGCCCGCAGCATCGGTCGGTCCCCACTTTTGTGAGGAAAATCCCGGAAGCCTCGCGCGGCAATTCGAGACCCAGATTATCGGGGGCGGAAAAGAGGGGGGTGATGACTAGGGGGGGTGGATATCATGGCGTGAGCCATGATATTTCCCCAGATTTCATGGCGCCTCTTCTTATTTCATTACGTCCCTGGCCCCCCCGCTGGGCCGCGCACATGCCGCCGGTCATGATTTGCACCCCCCCCTCTTGGACACCCTCCTCTTGGCCGCTCCCGAGATTACATCGGATCCGCGTCGGATTCACGTCAGACTTCCGTGGGAGCATCGCCGCGCGAACGTGGTCCCATATCTGCCGGGGCGGTTGCGCGGACGAGATACTACAGTGGACACCCATGCCAAGAGAAATTGTGCTTGCCTCCAGGGTGCCCCAGGTCATGGTTCTCCTGAGGAGAGCGTGACGTGCCCACACCGAGAATCAATGGACGTCATGCGGTCTCAGGGTTGGGTCTCTTGTGGAAGGTTGCTTGTGGTGGAGCTCCCAGTGTATAGGTATTGTGCTCCGCACGAGAGGAGGCGGCAGTAGGAAGCGGGAAGCGGGAGGCGGGAGGAGGCAAGACGAGAGGAGGAGGAGGAGGAGGAGGAGGAGGAGGAGGAGGAGGAGAGGAGGAGGAGGATGCAGAGGAGGAGGATGCAGGACAGGAGGAGGGGGAGGGAAGAGGAGGAGAGGGGAGGAGGAGGAGGAGGAGGAGAAGGAGGAGGAGGAGGAGGAGGGAGGAGGAGGAGGAGGAGGGGAGGGGAGGGGAGGAGGAGATTAGGAGGAGGAGGGGAAAGAGGAGGAGGGAGGAGGAGGAGGAGGAGGAGGAGGAGAAAGAAGATGAGGAGGAGGAGGAGGAGGAAAAGGAGGAGGAAGGGGAGGAGGAGAGGAGAGGAGGAGGAGGAGGAGGAGGAGGAGGAGTGGAGGAGGAGGGAGGGAGGAGGAGGAGAGGAGGAGGAGGAGGACCTCTTGGAGGAGGAGGAGGAGGAGGAGGAGGAGGAGGAGGGACGTAGCCATTTAAGCTCCAGGCATCTCTCCGGCTGAACAGAACGCATTCGTGCAGGCGCTCGAGGCTGCGCCCACACTCCCATCCCAGGACGGAGCTCGACGCGGCGCACGAGGTTCCGCCCATGAAGGCCCAGGAGGTTGAGGCACCTCGCTCCGCCACCGCCGTGGGGCGAATCGTCAAGATGGTCGCAGTCGCTGTCCTTTTGATGATGCTGTTCTCAGCACAACCCCGCAGGATTTGCGGCACTACGTCGACCACACTCGCGAATCAAATCATGGCCTCCATCACAAAAAAATGCAGTCTCCAGTTGGCGAGATGGCTTCCTCCTTTCACAAGTCACGCAGTCAGCTCAGCCGCCGGGTCGAGACCTGACTCGCCACGGTCAAGAAGAGGCAGCGCACCGCTGAGGAACGCATTCACGTTCTTCACGACAAGCTCGACAAATTCGAGAAGATTCTGGGAAGTATCCTATCGGAGACGCCGACACCCTCTGCAAGTACCAACGCCGCCTTCGACCGCGAGGTGGATCCCCCGACCCTGGTCATGCGCGGCGTTGGTCAGAGTCGCGCCGCAGGCTGGAGACGCCGACCCTATTCTAGAGCTCGCGGAGGCCAACGCCGCAGCTTTCGGCATGGATCGTGGTGCGACCAAAGAGAAGCTCGCGGCGCTCCTGCCCAAAGCCGGGCCAGTGCAGCGGTGCATTTACCCCGCTGTTATCTGCGTGGCGTCTGCGTGGCGGGGTCGCTCCTCCCCGCCTATTCCATTCTCGCTGGGTACTTGCAACGGCCAGGCTTTATTCCATCATATGTACAAGAAGCGGAACAACACTGTTGTTCCACATCTTGTACGCATGATGGAATTCAGTGCGCCATCTTGAGAGTTCAGGATGCGCGCGGGTCCGTCTCCGAGCTCAGGGATCTCCTCTTCCACATCCACCTCCCCATCCAAACCTGCTACTCGTTCATGCCGCTAGCTTAGTCTGCTGCTGGTGGAGTTATCACCTTCCTGCCAGATTTTGACACCATGCAAGCTGGGGGCGACGCGCCGAGGATCGATATCGTTGATCTTGTCCAGGGATGCGCGTTGAATGTTCGAGTTTTGTTTCCTAGCGTCATTGAGGCTTCTCACTTCAACATTCACAACCACGCACTGCCGATTTCTCAGCGCGACCTCATCTTCGAGTCTATTTCCAGGGGCTTTGAGGAGGCCTCAACGGGCCCCCATAATAACCGTCGCGTTCCTAGGTGGCGATTTCAACTTCTCGGATGGCCGGATGGCCCCGCTGTGCTTCTCAATTCCTGCCAGCCTGAGAAATCTCCGGGGGGCCCGACGCGGACCAGCGGGAAATGGCAATCGGTTTTACAAAACAGGGTCGAGATCCAGATCCAGGGATTCACCGATCATTGCGTCGCGCAAGGGACTCTTGGCACGCCAGACGGTCTTTTTGTATTTCCGCCAGGTTGGAGTTTAATTCGGATTAGCATTGGTGGCAGGATACACGGCTATCCTGAGGTCATGAGCAGGGCCAAGATCTCCGACCACGCAGCGGCCAGTGCCACGTTTGCCGCCCGCACTCCGAGATCGGCCAGTGAGAGAACGATGCATGTCGATATTTCGCCGACCAGACTACGTGAATTTCTAAATAATGTTGTCCAAAAGGTGGGCGATCCCGACCTCGCCCCCCCTCAGGCTTGCGCGCCATAAGGACATCATGTGGGAAGCCGCCATATTCGCTCGGGTTCCGACCTTCCGCGGGGAGCTTGGTGGCCCTCCTTTTTTTTTTTTTTTTTTTTTTTTCTTTTTTTTGTTCTCTCTCTCTCTCTCTTCTCTCTCTCTTCTCTCTCTCTCTCTCTCTTCCTCTCTCTCTCTCTCTCTCTCTCTCTCTCTCTCCTCTCTCTCTCTCTCTCTCTCTTTCTCTCTCTCTCTCTCTCGTATTTTTTTGTCTCTCTCCTCTCTCTCTCTCTCTCTCTCTCTCTCTATCTCTCTCTCTCTCTCTCTCTCTCTCTCTCTCTCTCTCTCTCTCTCTCTCTCTCTCTCTCTCTCTCTCTCCCTCTCTCCCTCTCTCTCTCTCTCTCTCGCGACGTCGCCGCCCAGGCCATCGCCAGGGCCCTCTGAAAGCAAGATGCCCACCTCGCCGAGAAGACCAGGCGCTCCCACCCGCATGGCCGACTGTTTATCATCGCTGGCGCGCGCGCCCAGACGGTCGAGATTAGCAGGCCAGTGCTCTGCGAGGCCTACGCCGACGAGGCTCACCCCGCCATGTCACGCGCGGCCCAGTCCGAGGCTCGGCAGCGTCGCCAAAAGGATTCCCCCGAGTTTGAGAAAGTGAAACTTTGCAGGCGCCCTCGCAGCCTTCGGGTTCGTTTTCGCCTTCGGGCCACATTCAATAGGAAATTGCCGCTCCAGGGGATTCGCGCCTCGACCGATGGCGACGGCGCCTCCGCGGTCCACGCTGATCCCGTCGCGGCGCACGCCAGTCTCGTTAATTTCTGGGGCCAGGTTGTCGCCGAGAAGGTCGACCGCGCTACGGCCAAGCACTGCGCCGCCAGGTTGAAGCCCGAGGTGGTCTTGTCAGGCTTGCCGCCACACGAGGAGAGGGATATTGAAAGGCTTCTGCAGCAGATTCCTCCAAGTGCCCCGGGCCCCGACCAGCTGCTTTATCCGGCTGGGGAAAATCACCCGAAGGGCCTAGCAGTTGTGCGTGGCGTTCTCTCGCGGGCGTTGGACGGCCAACCTTGCCTGCGCGCGTTCAATTCTTTGCTGGGCGCGCCCCCTGGCCAAGGGCGACGAGCCCGAGGACGACAATTCAGTCATCCGCGAGGCCTCGGATTCACGCCCACTGGGTTTGAAGGATGCCGGCTGCAAGACCCTGGCGGCTGCATGTATCGAACCCTATGTCAGAACAGCTTTCCGCCCTCATCGCGAGGTCCCAGTGGGGCTTCGCTCCGTCTAGGAGTTTCGGGGCGAACCTCGTCGAACTCGACGCCCGGGCGCGGGTCGCGCCCATGCTCCCGAACGCCCAGGGTGGGATGCCTGCCCTGACTGCGTTCGATCACGGTCAGGCGTTTTCTTCGATTGGCCAGGCCAGCGCTGGATATGCCTGATCTTAAGCGAGCTGCAATTGCCGCCTCCGCTCCTGACCTTCCTCCACATGATCCATGACAACGTGATATGCCACGGACGCATGTGGCACGTCTACCAGTTCACGTCCACAATACTCTCGGGTATAGTCCAAGGGCGCCTGGCAAGTGGATGTCCCCATGCGATTGCCCCCCCCCCCCCCCCCACCCTTTCGTCATTCACTTCGAGATGTTGATCGAAACGCGTGGTCTTTGGCCGAGTAGACTCTGCGCAGATGATGCAGGAAGCGCAGTTCTCTCGCTTCAGAGTTTGAGGCAACTGCGCACGGTCTCTCAGGCATCTAAGCGGGTGGCTAATCTAGAGGTGGCGCCACAAGTGTAAATTTGCTCCGCTCGCGGGTTCGTTTTCGGAGGGGATTGCCTCTCGGTGCCCCCCGTTGCTTTCGCGGAGTCTGGCCGGACGGGCGGACTTCCAGATCGTTCCCAAACGCCCGTGCCTCGGGCTGTTTTCGGGGCCCGCCGCCTCCCCGCCCCCATCGACAAGTGGTCGAAACGCTTTTGTTCCTGACCTGGGCTGCCGGCGCCCTTGCTGCAGTCGCCGCCGCTCTGTGCAAGTCGAGAGCCGTCGGCTGCTCGGGGTGCGTTGGGCAATGCTGCCCTCTTCCCGAAACCGCGCTGCGCAAAGAACATGCACTCCTGGCTACGCTATTCAAGCTCCCGCACTGCGCGCTGAGAAAAGCAGATGTTTAACCTTTCTCCTCCAGGGGCTGCCCGCAGGCTCGCAGTCTCCATCTTTTAAGCTTGGCCCCGGGAGTTAGGGCAGCCATGAGCGCATGCCCTGCGTGGCGGCAGCAGTATCAGTCACTCCTCGGAGGCTTGAGTTTACCTCGCTCTGTTGGAAGCCGGTGAGCGCCGCGCGTCGTCCTCATTTTTGGCAGAGCCCCCCATAGTCGAATTACTTCACGGAGCCTCGCTTGATTTTCGCTCGTCTCCTTACAGCGCAGCAAGAGCCAAAACTGTCGCCGCCGCTCGAGAAGCCTTGGCCGATGGGAAAAAGTTTCAGCGCGCTGCGAGTGCAGCGCTCGCGCAGGAACTGATCCCAGCTGACATCGCCTCCTCCTTTTGTCGGACCCCCCCTCGCCACCTTCCGCGTCAGCAAGACAGCCTGGGATCATATTGACTGGCCTGCCGTGCAGGCTGCCGCTATACAGTGTCCTCCGTGTTGGCGGCTAGCGACTTCGAAGACATTTTGCGGTGGTTGGACCACCAGCAACAGGTTCAAGCAAAATGGCATCACGCGCCGCTGCACGAACTGTCCAGATTCACAGACTCACTGATTGCAGTGTCCTAGTGTGTTGCCCACAACCAGTAGATGGAGTTGCCACCCGATGTTCGAAGAGCAACTCTGTCGTCTTGGCTGGAGCGCCCCCTCCCCCCAAGGATTCGTGCATATAGTTGCCTTTTTTCACATGTTTACCTTTTTTCAGTTCCCCTGCCCCTCCCGTCGTTGGCCGAAGATGTGTTCCTGTTGTTCCACCAGCTTCGCGCTTCGGTGTTCCGCACCCTCCCCCCCTCCCTCTTCGCACCCACCCTCCCCCCCTCCCTCTTCTTCCCTCCCGTCGCGACGACTTCAGCCACCCGTGCTCCTTCGGCAGCAAGGCCCGAGGGCGACGGCGTCGGCGGCGAGGCTAGCGGTAGCAGTGGTTAGGATCAGAGACATCATCAGCACGAAGGCAGGAATGGACAAGGAGGAGGGGGAGCATTGGAGGAGGAGGAGGAGGAGGAGGAGGAGGAGGAGGAGGAGGACGAGGACGAGGGCGAGGACGAGGACGAGGACGAGGACGAGGACGAGGACGAGGACGAGGACGAGGAGGAGGAGGAGGAGGAGGAGGAGGAGGAGGAGGCGGAGGACGAGGAGGAGGAGGAGGAGGGGCAGGACGAGGAGGAGGAGGAGGAGGAGGAGGCCTCGAGGGTTTTCCGCACGGTCCACCCCCGCAGTGGATGCCGTGGTCGGCGTTGTCGGGGGCATGCGCCGATCTCGGCCAGATGCCAGGCTCGGAGAGAGGCCCCCCGCCGAAACCACCACCCTCGAGCGCCCCGCTGCCCAAGGTTCCAGTCGGGCGTGCCCCTCGTCTGCAGCCGGGTTGCCCCGAACGGGGGGGGTCCAGCCGAAAGGTAGTGGCGCACTAGGTTGATTCGGCGCAACAGATCTGCGGGGCTGCAGTACATCAGGGGGCGCAATTCATTCCAGGGCGCAGATGTAGTGCTGGATATTCGCGTGCAAGACACTCCTTGCAGTACAACGCAGTGCGATTCCCTGGCGCAGTCGTGTGCAATATGATTGCCTCAAATCTACTGCACCACCCCCATTCAGCTGGACCCCCTTTTGGGCCCAAACTTAGGTTTCATTCAGGCATTTTTCCTCTTTCTACAGGAGGAATGCTCAATAATAGTAAGCAAAATAGCCTGGTAACGATGTGTCGTGTTTCTCTTGCCTATGTTTGATTCGTTCCGGTCTGTCTGTGAAGTTTCTTCCAGCATCCGCCTGTATGAGGACATGCCCGACCTAATCAAAGGCCTGCCAGATGGGGTCAGAGCACACGGGGTCGGAGGATGGTGCCGCGTCGTCGATGCATCGGCGATGCGGCTCTATAAGGAGCTCTATGTTACCCCGACGTCGCCGATGCGTCGCCCCACTCGGGCAACGCAACAAAAACAAGGTCGCCTACACCGACATTGGCGCGTAAGCTGCCCGCGTGAGGTCGCGCGTAAGCTCCCTCGTCTCCAATGTAGTTTGCCGCGCTGGCGGCCCGCGTTAGCCGCGGCGGAAGGTCGCTACGTCATCTGGCATAAGACCCGTTTCTTTCTGGCGCCCATTCGAGAGGCTCCCATCCTTAATTTTTGTTCGATGGCCAGCCCCGTTCGAGAAGCTTCGATATGGGCGTCCACTAGGCTTGCATCTTTATCGCGCATCCTTGCTATCAGCTTGGACTCCCTACTCGGACCCCACTTCGGAGGACTTTAGTATTCGCCACTCCCGAGCGCTGCCGACGTCGAGCAGCTGTCCCCGAGCCCCCGCTCCAGGAAGTTCGTGGCTTCCTGCCCCGAGCTGGAGCTGACCGGCGTCGACGAGGACGCCGGAAGCGGCCAACAGGGGAGTGATTACCAGGACAAGCCGCAGGGCTCGTTTCGATTTTGGGATGACGATGGCGATGCCGATGACGATCAAGATGATGAAACGGCGACGACGACGACGACGACGACGACGACGACGAAGACTAGGCAGACGACGACGACGACGAAGACCATGACAGAGCACATGGCTCGTTTTAGGATGGCTCCGATGCCGATAGTATTCGGTGTCGAAGTCCTGGTTATGGGGTCCGATTTCTCAATGAGTTAGGTGACCACGACAGGACAGGACAGGACGTCATCAAAAATATTGGACCCCACCCCTACCCCTCCGGATTTTCCTGGGCCTCGGGAGCCCTATATCGGGCTCCTGGGCGTCTGTCCCGCGGCGGCACGTTCGGAGTTCCGGGGGCGCGTGCGAGAGTGCCAGGAGGCCATCTATCGGGTGTGGAGGAGGGGTTTGGGAGACATGAGGCTATCATCATTGCCCGTAGGCGTCCGAAGGTATCATTCATTGCATCTAGATGCTATTGCTCGTACCTTTCATCCTCCAAACCCCTTCCTGCCAGCAGGGTGGCTGTTCTCCTCAGAGTTGGCTTTCGCTGCGTCTGCGGAGCTGGCTGCGGGATCTCCGCCATGGTCGGGCGACGAAGTCTGTGAGCATGTCCGCTGCCCCCCGGCCAGGCCCTGGCTTGGGGCCCAGGGGCCGTGCGATGCCCACTCCTGGGGCAAGCCGGGAGGGCGTGGCGTACCCCTCGGTCGTTGAAAGTAAGTATTTTTGGATTCCCAGATTCCAATCTACTTTCAGCGCCTTCCTACTTCAAGAGTCGAGTGGTTTTCCCTCTTCCCTCCTCTTCAGGAGGCGGGGCGGAAACCCGATCTATTTCCAACGCCTTCCTACTTCATGTTTCTACCCACTTCTTCCGACCGATGGGTATGGCCCGCTGCCGGGTTCAGCATGGGCCTGGCCGGGGAGCAGTGGATCTATGCATAGATTTCGTCGCCCTGCATGGATGGGCGCGCCTGTCCCTCTACAGGAGGAATCTTCTAGAATCGTCAAAGGATTGTCTGGGGAGGATGTTTCTATCATTTTTTGATTATTCTTGGGGCTTTTTGAAGTACGTCTCAGTATTCGTCCAAAATCCGCCTGTAGGGGGACATGCCCGACCTGACCCTACATGGATGGGCGGGGCTTAGGACAGGAAGAAGCCGCGCCTGCAACCCTCCTCGAAGTCCAGCGCAGGTTGTTTCCAACCCCCCTAGCCCCCCCCCCACTTGAATGTTTGGCGACGCGCGCATCGCGGCCCACGTTGTCGGAAGAAACATACAAGTCGCCAGTTTCGACGCGAACATCATTGACATTGGGGAACCAGGGCGTCGCAACGTCGCAGCAAAAATGTGTTTGATCTCGCGGAGGGTTGTAGACGGCGCACCGGCAGAAATTAGTCATGAAAGCGAAGGCTCGGAACAAATGTGGAGCACCCTCTGTTGAATGCAGGTGCGCCGGAGCTCAGGCACTGCAGACTGACCAGTGCTGGGCGGCGGGTATCACCACACTCGCACAGCGAACATGCACGAGGACGGGGGGGAGCGGAGAGCAGGAAAGGGGGAGGCGGGGAGAGCGGAGGAGCAATTCAACACCACATGCACACCGGTCGTCACGATTATGACTAGGCGGGGGGGGATATCATGGTTGGGGCCCTGATGTGATATCTCCCCAGATGTCATGGCCCCCTCTTCTTGCGTCAGCGCGTCCCGCGGCATTCCCTGGGCCGCGCGCGTGCCTCGGGACATGCTCTGCGCCTCCCCCTCTTGGACGCCCCCCCCTTGGGATTTGGCAGCAAATCATGGTAGCCTCGCGTACCCTCGCAGCTCCGTCTTTCCAGTGCACTAGCGTCGACTAGCGTCTGGTAATCGAGGAGGTACGGTGGGGGCGTTCGTTGAAGAATGTGCCCAGGGGCTTCAGACCCTGGAGGATTCCTTATCTGAGGAGGTCGCAGTGATACCCATGGCCAATCCACGATTGGTGTTCCAACAGCTTCCAGACCCTGGATTCCCTACGCAATGCCCTCACCGTAGCGCCGATTTAGCGTCGATCTAGCGTCGACGAGCGTCGATTCGCAAGAGCCGAGGCTCCCAGGAGTTGCCACCGAACGTCCCTCAGCACTCCCTGGGCAGCGCACTTGCCTCAGGGCATGCTCTGCGCCCCCCCCCCTCTTGTCGGCGGCGAGCGTGGGTGGGAAGTGAGCAGGAGAAGGCTCTCGCAGAGGGCTCGGAAGTCCCCCAGCCTTCTGAGAAGTGTTCTAAGCTCTGGGGACGATTTCTCACTATTTTTGTCTATTTGGGAGTATGTTTTAACTGTTTCTCCACTTTTCGTTTAACATCCCCCTGTAGGAGGACACGCCCGACCTAATTCTAAGCCTTCCCCGCGACCTCCCAGAAGGCGCGAGGGCTTCTGATGAGCCCCGCCGCCTTCTACAAGGCCTCCTCCTCCTCCTCACTTCGCCCCCCCCGCCCCTTCGCCCGCCGCCTTGGCTTGCACAACCCCCCTCCCCCCCCCCTCCTCCTCCCCTCCCCCTCCTCCTCCTCCTCCTCCTCCTCCTCCTCCTCCTCCTCCTCCTCCTCCTCCTCCTCCTCCTCCTCCTCCTCCTCCTCCTCCTCCTCCTCCTCCTCCTCCTCCTCCTCCTCCTCCTCCCCACCCCCCTTGACTTGGACGCCCCCGAGGACGGCAACTTCCTGGTGACGAGGGCGGGCGAGGCGCCCCCGCCGGGCTTCCTCGCCGGCAGGGGCACGCGGACCTGGCGGGGCCGGGGCGGCGAGAAGCCCGCAGCGCGTGCAGGGCGCGCCGCGGGGAGACGCTGCCACGTGCGAGGGCCACTGCTCAGGGCCCCGAATCATCAGGGGTAACTCGGGTCAGGGAGAACTCGGGTTCGTTTCTCGGGAATCCAAGCCCGAGTTACCCCGGACCCGAGTTACCCCGGATATCTCGGGCGTCCAGAGCCCCGAATCATCAGGGGTAACTCGGGTCAGGGCTAACTCGGGTTCGTTTCTCGGGAATCCAAACCCGAGTTACCCCGGACCCGAGTTACCCCGGATAACTCGGGCACCCAAATTGTGGTCAAGCAGGGGCGAAGCGTCGCAGTTCGCCTAGAGGCCTAGCAAGCAATGCTCCCAGAACCTCTTGTGTGATCTGCACGACATGTTGTTTTGACGATTCCTGGCGGAGTCTGTCTTGTTGGGACACATCGGGCTTATGCTCTAAGAGCATCGTTGTTGTTCTTAGAACATTTGGGGGTTCTAAGAACATCTCGTGGTAGGCCTATACGAATTCTGGGGCGCTCGGTCCCTGCTCAATTTGGGCTCGCGAGGAGCTCGGGTCCAGGGGACGCGCCCTGGACCCAGACCCGATCGCGTCTCCGGAAGAGCAGGGGTGAGGTCGGGCACGTCCCTCCACAGGAGGGGAAGCTCAAGAACAGCCAGAACATACCCCGGGGACGCCTTCTCGACTGTTGCTGACTATGCTCGAGCATGATGTGACTATAGTTTATTCAGAGCGTTAATTACCTACTTCCAGGCAAAACCAAGCCATACCGCGCGCCTCCTCGTCACGCGGCCTGACCAGTACAGGCTGCAATTTGGCATCGTTTGGTATCTCTTGGAAGTGAGGGTGGTCAAAAGCGAGGTAGGCTTGTTTTCCCTCTATTTGTGGTTCTTGCAAAATCCGCCTGCAGAAGGACCTGCCCGACCTGCATGCGAGGGCCACGCTGGGCTCGGGAGGGGCCCCGGTCCTCGGGGCTGGCGCCCCGGACCCAGGCCCGCTCGCCTCTTCCAGCAAGCAGGGGGGCGAGGAGCGGTCTACCGAGTGAGCTTTCCTGCCGTCGGGGGCGCAGGCCACCCTTCAGGAGCGACAAAAGGACGTACACGTACATGAATCCACGCTGGTTTCGAGAGTAGGCATTGCGCAAATGTTCGTATAACGCGGCCGGTCTCGCGGATCGAGGGGCCGTGTTCATGTACATAGCTGGGCGCGTACGTCCTTTGTGGGCTCCCTAACCCTGGGGGGGGGGGGCTGCAAAGTTTCCACCATCGCGTGGCACCGCAGGTGTACGAACCGTCGGCCGCCGAGGGGGGCAGGCGTCCCCGACGGCGGAGAAGTATGTGCGATGCCGCCCTACGCCCGCCCAAGAGCAAACAGGATCGACACGCGAACCCGGAAAGGGACTGAAAACTGCGAGGCATGAAACTCGGGGGCGGCAAAGAGGGGGGTGATGACTAGGGGGGGGTGGATATCATGGCGGGGGCTATGATTTTCCCCAGATTTCATGGCGCCTCTTCTTAACTATCTCATTGCGTCCCTGGCCCCCCCGCTGGCCGCGCACATGCCGCCGGCCATGATGTGCACCCCTTGGCCGCTCCCGAGAAACCGTTATCAAGGACCTCAGCTGCAGAAGGGCGTAAGTGGGCGAGGCCAGGGGGGCATGCCAGCGGGACGCGCCGCGGACCGTCACAAGGGACGCGCCAGGGGACGTGCCAGGGGACGTGCCATGGGGACACCGCGGGACGTGCCAAGGGGACACGCTACGGAACGTGCCAATGGACGTGCCACGGGACGTGCCAGGGGGCGCGCCGCGCGACGTGCCGGGGGGACTCGCCGCCGGACGCTCCACGGAACGCGCGAGGGAACGTGCCAGGCGACGCGCCAGGGGACGTGAACGGGAACGCGTTAGGGAACATGCCACGGGTCGTGGCGCGGGACCGCGCTCCCAGGCAAGCCCTTCTTTTCTGTTCCAAAACACGGTTTGCCACCTTCCCGCCCTCCCCCCCAGACGCAGCGGAATTAGAAAGGGGCAACGCATGGTGGGCCCGTGAACGAAGCCATTACGACGGGACCGCGCTCCCAAGGCCACGATCTCTCGTAAATTACGTTGCACCCGCTTTCCCTGGGCTGCGATCATTCGTAAACTACGCGACGTCCGCGCTCCCGAGACAACGACCCATTGTAAATCGCACGGCGTCCGCGCTTACAGGGCCGCGATCTTCTGCGAACCACGCGGGAGTCACGCTCTCCCGGCCACGATCCCTTGAAAAATATGGAATCGCTTCGCTCATTCCGCCCGCCCAAATTGCATCACTGGTGCTACATATTTGTGTGATCGTGACGAGCGGGGAGGAGGATGAGGAGGAGGAGGAAACGGAGGAGGAGGAGGAGGAGGAGGAGGTGGAGGTGGAGGAGGAGGAGGAGGATGAGGAAAAAAGGGGGGATGAGGATGAGGAGGACGAGGCCTCCCGATGGCCCTCGTGGGCCGTCTGGAAACCATATTAGGTGTTTCGGACCGATCGTGCCATCGCTAGCGTTGGGAGCCTCTTTGGGGCCTCCGGGGGGCCTTGGGGGCCTCTTGTGGTGGGGTTCTCTTGGGGGCTCCTGGCGGCCTCTTGGAGCCTCTTGGGGGGCTCTTCTGGGCTCTTGGGGCCTCCTGGGCGCCTCTTGGGGCCGAGGGCTCAAAATGTCCGTTCGGGTTCCCCGTCTGGCCCCGTCTTGGGGCCGTCCTGGGAATATCTTGGACCGTCTTGGAGGCCTCCTGGGCCGCCTTCGGGCCGTCTTGGGCCCTCTTGGGGCTCTCTTGGAGGCCTCTTGGGTCGTCTTGGGGCGATCTCTGTGGCCTCTTGGGCCGTCTTGGAGCGTCGGGAAGCCGAACAGATGAGAACGTCAGAATCTTTCAAAAGCCGAAAGCAAATCGATGCTTGTTGCCTCCTGGAGCCCTCTTGAGACGCTTCGTCGAGGCCTCTTTGGGCGTCTTGGGAGCCTCTTGGGACCGAGGTCTCGAAATTTCCGTTCGGGTTTCCCGTCTGGCCCCCTCTTTGGGCCGTGATGGGGATATCTTGGGCCGTCTAGGAGCCCTCTTAAGCCGTCTTGGAGCTCTCTTGGAGGCCTCTTGGGCCGTCTTGAAGCGACATGTGCGACCTCTTGGGCTGTCTTGGAACGTTGGGAAGCCGAACAGATGAGAACGCCTAAATCCTTCAAACACCGAAGGGATATCGATGGGTTTTTGCCTCCTGGAGCCCTCTTGAGACGCTTCTTCAAAGCCTCTTTGGGCGTCTTGGGAGCGTCTGCGGCCGTCTGGAAGCTATCTTGGGCGTCTTGGACCGATCGGTCGGCGACTCGGAGCCCTCTTGGACCGCTTTGGGGACTTGTGGGGCCCTCTAGGAGCGCTCGGGGGCGCCTGACAGCCGCGCCCAGAAGGAAAAACCATCTGTGAGTAGTACCGGCCAGAGTGCTTTACCGGCCAGAGTGTTTTTCGTCTTGGGACCCCCAGGGGCCGCCCCGCACGCGCGACATAGAAATATCGTTTACCAGTAGCCAGGGATCTTAGCACGCCTCTGGCCCGGTGGGCCGGCGAATTCTGGATTCGCACTCCCAGGGCAACTATCCCTTATGGAAATTATCATGATTCATGCTCCAGGGCCGCCGCCCTGTGTAAATTACATTGGTTTCGCGCTCCGATGGCACGATCCCTCGGAAGTTACGCGGGAGCTCGCGCTCTCGGGGCCACGATCCCTCACGAGTACGCTGCGTCCGCGCCACCGGGACCACGATCCCTCGCACAAGTGTCCGCGCCCCCAGGGGCAGGATCCCTAAGGACCACGTGGTGCCCGCCACCCTGGGGCCAGCATCCCCTGCAAATTACCCAGCGCCCACGCCCCCAGGGCCGCGCTCCCTCGTCAATTGCGCCGCGTCCGCGCGTCCAGGGCCAGGATCCATGGTAGATGACGCTGCGTCCGCGCTCCTGGGGCCGTGATGCCTCGTCAACTGCGCTGCGTGCGCGCTCCCAGGGCCGCGTGCGTTCCCCTGTAACGTACGTTGTGTCCGCGCTCCCGGGCCGGGACCACGGCCCCGCGAGCAGCCCATGCTGTGTTCGGGCTCCCCGTGCAGCAAGAAACAAGCGTTTCGCTCGAGCCATCCTCAGCGCGCAGGGCGCTGCACCCTCGCGCGGGCACGAGAAGAGTCGACTGCTTCATGTTCTGACACATCTCAGTGCCTCCAGACCGTTTGTGGTGCCACGGATTCTGCGCGAAGCGCTGTTTTTGGCAGGGGGGAGCGTGTGCCTGCGGACCCGGCTATGTATCGAGAGTCCAAGACAGAGGACACAGGTTCCTCGATCGGGCACCCGCGAAATACACTGCAACGAAACAGTTGCTTCAGGTCGTTATGTATCGCAAATCATTCCACGGGCCCTCATCCAGTCCAATACTGGGGGTAAACATCCAAAAGAGAACCCTGGGCCAGCGCCTTTTCCGGGAAAAAACGGCGGGGGACGATTGGCCAGGTTGGGCTTCAAGGGGCCCTCGCCGAGCCCCTGGGACCGTCGAAAAGTTGCCTTGAAAAACCCGCCTTTGGGAAAGGGCTGGGACTTCCAGGGACCCAGCATTGAAAAGATCATCGGATGGGGCCAGGACGAGGATAAATCCGTCCCAGAGCGTTCCGGAACGCTCTCGGAGCATCCTGGAACGCTCTAAGGCCGCGGCGCCGGAGACATCCGCCGGAGCCGCCGATTCTCGGAGGCTCTCGATTCATCCCCACCCGATGTTCTCCTCGTGAGGAGGAGCATGAGGAGGAGCAGCAGGAGGAGGAGGAGGAGGAGCAGGAGGAAGAGCAGGAGGAAGAGCAGGAGGAGGAGCAGGAGGAGGAGCAGGAGGAGGAGGAGCAGGAGGAGCCCTGGCTCCGGCTCAGATCAGGGCCTCGCGCGTCTGGAGCGCCAGGGCTCGGGGAGCTTGCTCGTGGTGGAGAGTAGCTCGCCGCGGCCGGAGGGCCCCCCGCCGTCCCTCACCACCTGGCCTCCCGCGCTCGCAGCACGAGGCCCGCACGGCAGGCTCCCGCCGAGTCGACGCGGCGGCGGCCCCAACGCCAGGGCTTCGGCAGCGCGGGCGAGGCGGGGGAGGTGGGGAGGAGAGGGCCTCCTCGGGAGGCGGCGGGACTCCTCGGAAGCCTCCGCGCCCTCTCGGAGAGGTGCTCTGCATGTGCCTTCGGGGGAGGCCCGGGGGAGCTTCTCGGAAGGCCGGGGGACTTCGAGCCTTCTGGGAAGGTCTTCTCCTCCTCACTTCGCCCCCGGCTCGCCGCCAAGAGAAAGCACGCACGAGACCGAACAATGCGGAAGCCTTCGCGCCTTCCCTGAGAGGTGCTCTGTGCCTTCGGTGAAGGCCTGGGGAGGCTTCTCGGAGGGCCGGGGGACTTCCGAGCCGCTGGAGGAGGTCTTCTCCTTCTCCCTTCGCGTCGCCGGTGGCGCGAGATCGGCCGGCATCAGACGATGTGTGCTGTCGGGGAGCCGTGAGCGTTCAGGTCAAGGCTGAGCGAGATCCTCGAGGTGTCGGAGACCAACGCCGGCGTCATCGCGACGTGAGCCTGGCGGTGCACCACGGACGACCATGCCTGGCCAGGGCCACCCTGGGCCCCAGGGGTAGACCCTCCTGGCTTCGATCACGAGAGCGTAAGATGAAGTCGGGCATGTCCCTCTGCAGGAGGAATGTTCGAGATCAGTGCAACAAATGGTCTGGTGGCAGTGTTCCGCGCTCGTTTGGCAGTGTTTGCATACCGTTCGACTATTTGTTATCATCCTTCTTCCGAAATCCGCCCGCAGGAGGAGATGCCAGACCTGAGCGTAAGACAGCATGCAATGGTCCAGTCATGTCGCCGGCCAGCCGTGGCGGTGGTGTTCCGGTGCCCTCTGCGCAGAGGACCAGCGACCCCGCGGGGATGCTGGCCGGCCCAGCCAGGGCACAGGACCTGTGTATGTGCACGTCCCTCCACAGGAGGAATATGTCAGAATTGCAGGCCAGCCACAACTGGGGGAGCTGTGATCCTTACCCCCCTGGGGGACCCATCGATTTCGACATCCCTCTCGAGAGATCGTCGATGCGATTGGTTCCCCCAGGGGGATAAGGACCACAGCTCCCCCAGTTGTGGCTGGTCGGTTTTGCGGAGCCCGCTCGCGCATCTTCGCATGCCGGCGGCGTCGGCAGTTCATGCCCGCGCACCTGTAGGGCGTTCCAGAGAGGGCCCGCGCCTTCGAGAGAGCTCTCGCCCGCGGCGGAAGGCGGCGCAGGCGGAACGGCGGCGGATCCGCGGGCGGAGGATCGGCGGAGGTTCCAGCGCGAGATGCCAACACTCAGGAGGGAAGCAACACACAGGCACACAGAATCATCGATCCCCTGGGGAAAAGATCCGGAAATATCGGGAGTGGGGGGGAGGACGAGCTTCCAGAAATCATTGAAAAATATAGGAGGTCTTGGGATTTGTTTACTGTCTATATATATATATACATATATATATATATATACATGTGTGTGTGTCCCTGGGCCCCTCCGAGCACGTTTGGGATCAGGGTCTCCAGAATCGGCCGCGTGCACGTCCCTCGTGTTTCCCCCACAGGCAGAAGCACGCGGCGGCCGGCTGGCGGGCGTACTGCCGGGCGATCAGGGGCAGCGCCGGGGGGGGGGGTCGAGCAGTGGCGAAGCGTCTTGGCTCGCCTATAAGCCCACCAGAGAATGTTCAACATTCTCTGCCGAGCTGTGGTCGAACTGTTCTTTTGTGTAAACCTTTGGTCTACACAAACGGTTCTTATTACAACAATGGCCCACCAGAGAATGTTGTAAGAACCTTTTGCGGTCTGCGCGAATTGTTGTTTACAGAGCATTTCTGGCCGAGGCTGCCTCGTTTCAGCTCATCGGGTCTGCGTTCCAGGAACATCATTTCGTGCTAAGAGAACATATGTGGGCTCTCAGTCTGTTTTCGTGGTAGGCCCAGAGGAAAGGCGGGACGGTCGGTCCCTGCTCATTGGGGGGGGGGCTGTCGGGCCGAACGGAAGGGGGGGATGAGGAAAGGGGGGGGTACGACATCTCCTGCATGCCCATTGTTCCGGCCCCGCCGCCGGGCCCATTCCTCGATATACGTGAGCGCCGGGAGGCGCTGGGAAGATCAGCTGCGGGAGCTGATTCTCCACCCTACCCTTTGCTATAGATCCCCCCCCCCTTTCGTTCCCCCGGACCCTCCCTGGCGCGCGGAGCGCGCCAGCGGCGGCGCTGGATGAGCCGCCGGGGGGGCTCCGGCGCCGGCCGACCCGGGAAGTCCGCAGGGATCTCCTAGAGTGCTGGTGCCGTCTTCTTCCTCCTCTCCGACGCTCCTCCCCCGGCCCTGCGACCACCCCCCTTCGATCCCCCGATCCTGCGATCCTCCTCCCCCTCCTCCTCCCTCCTCCTCCCCCTCCTCTCCCTCCTCCTCCCCCTCCGCCCCCTCCTCACCCGATCCTGCGATCCTCCTCCCCCTCTTCCCTCCTCTCCGTAGCCATTTTGGCTCAAGATGCATGGTTCCTCAGGGGACAAGTGGATACCGCTAGTCCGCGGCAGGCAAGACCCCTGGTGGTCTGGCAGATTTTTGGGTATCGCACTCACGCTCGTGCCCGCGGGTAAACGGAGGTCTTTCCCGTTCCTGCGCGTGCGAGCGTCTCAGTCTCGCTCATGGGGGTCGCCGACCCCGACACGCAGCATGTCCTCCTCGATGGCATCGACCTCGCAGCCACCTTCCCGTCGCATACCTCTGAGGACACTACGAAGGGCAGCCAACGCGGGAAAGGTACTGTTCCGTCTCGTGCTGATGTTGCTGACGTCCCTCCTCCTGGCAAGCGTCGTGCCATACCGCCTACCTCTGGGGCGTCGCTCGGTGCCGACGGACCCGCTGATGATGCTGAAGACGGAGAATGGGCTGGAGTGTCAGATGACGACCTACGGAATATTGTGCGTTCGGAGTGGAACGGTCTCAAAGAATCCATGCAAGAAGAAGTTGGCAAAACGGTCGCCGCATCGGTTGCAGAGTCGAACAGAATTGTCCTTCAGGCCCTTGAGGACGTTAGGATCCAGCTCAATGGGCAAGCCTCCTCTCTTGACCAGCAGGTACAGTCCGCTATTCTGCCGTCGCTCGACGAGATCGGTAAGAGGTTTCAGAAGCAGTTCGATGTTCATGCTGCGCGCCTGGACGAGCATGACGAGAGGATGGACAAACATGACGAGAATCTGCAGGCCTTGCAGGGTAAGCTGGCTGAGTTCAAGAAGTTGCTCGCGGTTGCTGAGGAGAGGCCCGTGGTCCCCGTCGCGGTGCCGTCGGGCTTCTCCCGCGACCCTAACCACACGCTCGTGGTGGTCATGTTGCAGGTGCCGACCACCTTCGCCGCGGTCAAGAAGTCGCTGGACGGATGGTTGCTGTCCTTGTTGTTCAAACCAGAGGACTACAAGACCGAGGCGGCTGGGCCCTTGCCGAGCCGCCGCTTCCTCATCAAGTTCGGCGGGCTCGTTGCGCCCGCGACGCGGAAAGTGCAGATGGTGCTCTCCAAGCTTCGCGAGAACGGCGTCTGGAGAGAGTTCTGGGTTGAGGTCGACGGCGCGCCTGCGCGCCGTCTCCACCTTGGCCCCGACAGGAGCCCGCAGCAGGTCAAGCAAGAGATCACGCTGCGCAAGTGCAAGGATGCTCTCCAGGAGTTGCGCGGCGCGGGCTCAAGGATCTCCCTGGGCCGTGAGGGGGGGGGGGGGGGGGGTGCTGTCCGAGGTCTTCCACGGCGAGCCCCCTCCGAAGCTGCGGCGGGTCGTCGAAAACCTGCAGAAGCATCGGATCTCGAAGGCGCAGGCCATCGCAGCGACGAAGGCGCTCACGGACCTTCACAAGGAGCCTCAGTGGTGCCTTTGGTGTTGCCTCCGTCTTCCACTTCAGTACGAACGAGTGCAATGCGTCTCCGCCGCCTCTGCGGTTCGCGACGTGGAACTGCCGAGCGCAACTTCAGGCTGCTGGGGCGAAGGCTAGCCTGAAGAAGAACTACCTCGCGCGGCTGCGGCCGCACCACACGATCGCGTCGCTGCAGGAGGTCCACCCGGACGAGCTTCAGCTGCGCGCGTTCATGAACCAGATCTACCCGAGTCCTTGCTGATCACGAGCTTCGTTGGCGCGGGGAGGACGGACCGCGTCAAAGGTGGGGCCGCGATTTTGCCCCCGAAGCTATCTATGGCGGTGGGGACTCTGACGACAGTCTCGCATGATAGCCTCGTTCCTGGGAGAGGGCTGAGAGTGGATATCCAGAGGGGTGATGTCTTACTCGCGGCCTTCAACATTCATAATCATGGTTTGTGTTCGGATGACATCCGTCGTGTGACTGTGTCCATCGACGCCGCGCTGAGGGCCGCCCAGGACGACCCTGTTCGCAGGTTGGCGGCGGTCAACGGCGACTTCAATTCTGCCGCGGGTGAGGCGCTCACTCTGCACGCCCCCTCGGCCGCCAATCGGCGGCCCCGCCGTCGGCTGCACTGCCGGGCTACGATCTGGAGGAGGTCGCTGGCGCGCATGCTTGAGCTCGAGGGCGACGAGCCGACGCACTATGTCAAGGACACCAACGAGTCGTCCTGCATCGACAGGGTCTTCTGCTCCCCGGCCAGCTGGCAGTCTACATCACCTCGGCGACGGTCGAGTCGGTGGCCGCTGTCTCTGACAAAAAGATATCTGATCATGCTGCTGCGGCTGTCTCGTTCTCGACTCGCGCCCCTAAGCCTGCTACTGAGCGGCCTGTTCCACGCGAGCTGTGCCGCGAGCCGTTCTTCCTGGAGCGCCTGGCAGGTCTCATTCGGTCGAGTGACTGATCGTCGATGTCCCCGCCCTTCCGCCTCGAGCACTACAAGTTCCTTCGTCGCCAGGCTGGTCTGGAAATCCGTGATCGCCTCTTCCGCCTGCGACCCCAACACCCACAGTCGTTACTACTACTTGCTAGGTCCCTGGCGCGCGCGGTCTGGAGGCAGGACGGGCGTTTGGCCCGCCGGTTTCAGAACTCGCGTTCCGAGACTGACGAGCACATCATGATCGACGGCACCAGTGTTTCCTTGCGTCATCCGCCCTCTTTGCAGGAGTGGTCTTGCCGCGTCCAGCGCGAGGCTGCCGAAGCTCGTCGCCGCGAGCTCCAAGCTAGACAGGACAAAGAAGGGGGTGCTCAGCAGGTCCGTTTGCAACTGCGCGCGCTGGAGAAGAAGGCAAGGCTGTGGTCTCAGATCGGCATGCGTCTGTCTCTCTCGGGCGTGGCCGACTCCTCCTCGCACAGCGTCGTGATTGATCCTTCCGACCGCATCGATGCCCTAAGGAAGTACTGGGGCCCTGTATTTGCCAAAAAGCCGTTCGTTCGCTGCTGCCGATGTTCGTTCTTATCTTCGGGCGCGCCTGCCTTCCATTGAGGATGTTGTCATGCCGCCGCCGTCGTTACGGTCGATGAGGGAGGTTATCAGGAGGGCGCGCCGCAGTGCCACGGGTGTAGATGGGCTACCGCACGACGCTTGGGGGCGCAATGAGTATGGGACCCGAGTTCTCTTTGATGCTTTGGATTGGACGATGTCGGGGCAGCGGCTGTTCTTGGAGCCTAACACTACCATTCAAGCCTTTCTACCGAAGGCCATCACTGAGCACGAGATGAGAGACGGCACTGCACGCGCACCCCAGATAAAATACGGCTTCTCGGTTTGAGGAACACGGACGTGAAGATCATGTCCGCAGTCGTGAATCGAGCGCTTCGCCTTGTGGTAGCGCGCGTCGCCCCCCGGGCCCAGAGGGGATTCGTGCCTGGGCGGAACTTCGGGTTGAATATTCCAGAAGTTGATGCGCGCGCCCGGAAGCTATCGGCCACGTGCCCTCATGATCCTGGCCTTCCCCCTCTCTTCTCCCTGGTCTTCGGCCAAGCCTTCCCCTCCCTGAACCAGGATTACATGCAAATGGTGCTGCAGATGCTGAACCTCCCTGATGCTCCCCTCCTCTTCGCTTGCTCCCTGCGCGCCGCGATCGAGGGCGTCGTCTCGGTCGGCGGGGCGTCGAGGAGGGCCTTCTGGATCCGCAGTGGGATTCTCCAGCGCTGCGGGCTCCCTGGGAGCCTCTCTGCATTAGGTGCGGCGCCTTTTCATCAGTGACCTGGAGTTATCGGTCGAGGGTCCTGGGCACGGTCTTGTTCGAGCGTGCGCGGACGACATCGGAGGGGCGGTTCGGTCGATCGCGGGGCTCTTGCAGGTCTTCCGCACCATGCAGCTCGCTGGGCCCTTCGCCAACCTTGTCCTCAATATACCGAAATGCAAGGTCGTGCCCCTGGCTGGGCGCTTCTCCGCACCACTGGCGCCCCGTGTGAAGGCCGCGATCTCGGAGGCTATCCCGACTTGGGCTGATCTGGAGGTGGTCTCGAAGTTGCTTTACTTGGGCCTATGGTTGGGCCCTGAGGTTGGCCCATGTGACTGCTGGACGGACCCTGTCGCCAAGCTTCGCCCGCGGGCTCAGGCGATTGGCCGATGCGCGACACCCCCCAGCGTCTCAGCCATATTGTATAACACCCGTGCGGTGGCCACGCTCTCGTACGTCGCGCAATTTACCTGGCCGCCCCCCAAGCGCCTGGCGCTTGAGCTGCCCACGCCGGCGCAGGCCTGTCGGGCGCCTCTCGGCGCCCTCTCGCTGGAGTCCTGGGCGCAGCTGGACCTGTGGGGCGGCTCGCGCGCCCTCCGCTGGGGGCGCGTCGCGGTCGCCTCGCTGGCGAGCGCTGCCGCGCTCAACTTCCCCGAACATGAGCAGATCCTGAACTCGCTGGTCTCTTTCGTCAACGAGCATGACGACTGGCGCACGCTGTGCATGCTCCGCCCTGGCCGCCTATATCCGAGCTTCTGGCGCTCTCAGTCGGATGTGGAGACGTTGGCGCAAGCTGCCGCTGGACTCGGCCCGCCTGGTCAGCTCTCGCCCATGGTGCCCATCGCTCGCGACGCTGCCCGCGAGGAGCCCCTGGCGGCAGTGGACCGCCGCCCGCGCCCCCAACGTGCTGCGCATCGTGCCCTCCGTGAGTTGGCTCGCGACGCTGCTCCTCTTGCTGGAGTCCTGGGGCTTAGATTGCGCAAGCTGATGCCCCGTCACCGCCATGATCTTGATGAGACAAATTGGGACTCGGTCGTCACAGTGCTCAGAGGATGCCCGACGTCGTGGGCGCGGGCCGCGGTCCGTATCTGGTCGGACGCTTGGCGCACTTCGCATCGCATCCTCCATGCGGATGGACGGCGGCTCTGCGCATATGGTTGTGTGCGCTCGCCCGACGCTCTCAAGCACAACGCCCGCTGCCCGAAGATGTTCTCAGCGAATCGGCAGGCGCTGGGTCGGTCATTGCCCCTGCCTGTGCTACACCGCTGGTGTCTTCGTGCCCCGTCTATTGATAATGTGGCGGTGATGATGGTGGCCTACAGCATGTGCAATGTAACCCGCACTGTCGAGCAGTGGCCGATTGACAGGGACCAAACGTTCAGCTGTGCCTTGGCTGGAGTACGGGCGATGAGGACGGCGTCTCCGATGCAGCTCTCGGGCGTCGAGCGGGCCGCCCTCGAGGTGGCGGACTTCGCGCTGCCCCGCCCCGGTTCCCCCTCATCTTCCTCTTCGTCGTCGAGCTCGTCTTCTGAGTCGTCTGAGCCCCCCACCCCTGTCACGCCCCACGCTTCCCCCGCCCCTGTTTGCAGCGCAGTGGGCGAAGCTGCGGGTCAGGCTCCCGATTCGCCCCCTCGCTTCGACATCTGCAGCTCTGAGGGCGAAGCTGCGTTGCAGGCTCCTGCTCCGCCCTCGCCCATTGCTCTGTCTTCCGTGGTGACCTCTCCCAATGTCTCGGGGTCGTGCCAGCCGCCTCTGATGGGCCCCATCGAGCGCCTCGATAGCCACGCCGCTGATTTCTCGAGCATCCGATCGCCTTCCCAGCATTGTATCGACGCCTGTGCGTCGCAGTTCCAGCATGCAGATTCTGTCGACTGTGCCGCGGGGCCCGCTTCCTGCACCCCCCGCGGTGCTTTTGTCGCCCACCTGGCCGCAGCATCGGATTTTCCTCCCCATCCGCCCGGCCTGTACGTATGTTTCGGAGTCTGGCCGCATCTTCTCCACCCGTCCGTCTCTCCTTAGCGCTGCTCCTGCCCCTGCCTCTGCTGCTCCCCCCTTGCCCCCCCCCCTCCTCCCTGCGCGGATTGAAAAAGCGGCTCCTGTCGTCGGCGCCGCGGAGCACGCGCCGCATGTCCTCGAGGCGCCGCCGCTTGCGGCGCCCCGCCCCCAGCCCGAGGCTGCTGGTCGGGCCAGAGGGTAGGCCAGACTGGGACCCTCCTTCTACGCTCGTCTCCTCCTCCCTCCTCCTCCCCCCGGGGCTGGCTCCCGGGGGGGGGGGGGGGCCCTCGACCCGCCCGCCATATGCCGCCCGCCCCTCGCCCCTCGGGGGGGGGCCTCGCCGGGCCCCCTGCACAGTCGACCCGCGCAGCTTCGGGCGAGCGCAAGCATGTCGGGAGCGGAAAAGAGGGGGGTGATGACTAGGGGGGGTGGATATCATGGCGGGGGCCATGATATTTCCGCAGACTTCGTGGCGCCTCTTCTTATTTCAATGTGGTCCTGGCCCCCCCGCTGGGCCGCGCACGTGCCGCCGGTCATGATTTTCACCCCCCCTCTTGGACACCCCCCTCTTGGCCGCTCCCGAAGATCCGGGCGAGCGCTTAGGCATGGATTCGGGGGGCGTGGATCCGCGACGGGCCCCGTTGCCATGGGGAGTCGCGGAGGTCCGGCGCTGAGCGAGGCGGCGCGGGCCGCATTTTGGGGAGGGCACCTCCCCCGCTCCACGGATTTGATTTGGCGGCCGAGCGCCAAATCCATGGATCGCTACTCCATGTTTGTCCGCCCCTGTCTTGGCATGGAGGGGCAAGCGTACCCAGGGATACCCTTGCAGCCTTGTCCCGTCGGCCCATGCTCAGCGACTGCCGTTGGCCGACCTCGTTCGACAGACGTTCACATGCGCCGCCAAGGCCATTGCATCCTTACCGTGCATTCTCATGATACGGGCCGACTGTATTTTTTAATACAAAGAGGGGAAGAAACACACAGACACAATTAATCGTCGACTCCTAGGAAAATGCGGGAAAATATGGGAAGTGGTGGGGAAGACAAAAACCAGAAAAGATTGGGAAATATGGGGGGGATCCTTTTATTCATGTGCATTTATTCGTGTGTCCCAGGGCCCCTTCACTTTTTTCCCTCTGAGCTTCTCCCCCCCCCCCGCCCCGACGCCCTCCCCGAGGTGACGCCCCCGGCCGAGCGGGCGCTGGAAGCGCACTTCGCCGCGCTCCTGCGGGCCGCGCCGCGGAGAAGATGAACTCAAAGCAATCGAGGGCCGAGGCTCGAGGCCCTCCTCGAGGCACCCAGGGTCGAGGCCTCGCATCGAGGAGCGAGGGGCCGAGGATCGAGGGGACCGAGGGATCGAGGATCGAGGGGTCGAGGGATCGAGGATCGAGGGGCCGAGGATCGAGGGGATCCAGGGCCGGGGATCGAGGGGATCGAGGATCGAGGGAGCCGGGATCGCGGGATCGGGGTTCCGCCGAGAAGAGCAGGGCACGAGGGTCCAGGGGCCGAGCGGCTTCTCGTCGCCGCGACGGGGCCCTTTGCCCTCCATTTCTCGGGGGTGGACAGAACCCCAGCAGTGACACGTCGATTCGTGGGGGGGAAGACGAAAACCCCAAAACATGTGGGAACATATGGGAATTGTGTTACGTGTGTGTATTTTATGTGTGTGTCCTGGGGCCCCTTGATTTCTGCCCCTCTTCCTCTTCTTCCTTCTCTTTCCTGGGAGCTGGCTGGGGGGCTGAGGTGGTCAAGCACTGGATCCAGCCAGCAGAAAGGGTCGGGTGTGGACAGAACCCCCACTCTGACGCGTCGATCAGTGGATTGTCCGTCTTCGGTTCTCGGGAGGGCGCCGTGGCCGTCATTTTCCAGGCTTGCGCCCGCCAGGTTTGGGCCTCGGGTCGTTTTCACTGAGCCACGTTTTTCCAAAGGGGGGTCTGTCCATCCCCGAATTTATGGACCTGCCGCACGAGAGGTCAAAGGCATCGATGATACTGTCTTGGCGTTTCCCGGGAGGGCCTCTCATGCTTGTGAATGTGTTAAGCTGTGTAACGCACGTGCACGTCTCTTGCTGCCGAACACGTATCGCAGCACTGCTTGTCTGACACGCGTGTAAGGTGTGACCAGGTGTATGCTGGCGACGCTGGCGGTTATTCTGATGATGTCCTTACTCGTCCTCTTCTTCAGCATCCCTTCTCTTTTGAAGCATGACGAGACGAACCACAGGCAGTATCATAATTAGAGCATTGTGGAAGACGCCCGCGGCGAACCACGGCCACCAGCCCGCCTCCTTGACACGCCCATGTGGCCAAACGTTGGGCCACAGTTTGGCCAAGCCATTGGACTACCCCCCACCGCTGTG